TTATTTAAAACATTGATATCTTTTATAGGTTATACATAAATAACTATGGCCCTCCTACATAAGCGTGAAGCTTACCACATCGAGGGAGATTATGTACGACTAGGCTAGAAGGAGAACAAGTTGACCTCCATGTTCGTTGGTGTAATAAGTTATAGCTTCTCTTATGGAAGCATGAAACTCCAAAAATTCCACTCTTTGGGCATGTGTTTGTACTACTGAGCATCAGGAAATGTCAAACCTGCAAGAGATAAAAATCCTCAAATGCAAGCACCAAAACAATTGGAAAAAAAAACATGCTACTCGATATGCTTCGAGACATGTAACATCGTGCGGCCAAATAAAGGTGAGAAGAAGTAGGCTGCGAAGCAGAGCAAAACAGGGGTAACTCATTGTCACCTGCATCAGTTCAGTTTCAAGCCTTCCTTTTCTCTTCTCGTGTTTTTTTTTTTTTTAATATTAACTAATCTTCTCTTCCCATGTTTGAACAAATATGAATTGGACTACTACGGACATATGTTCACTAATGAAAATCTAGTTGTTTAGAACACAAAAACAGAGAGGAGAAAAAAGAGGGGATCTAGACTCTTCTTTCACTTTATGCTGATTCAACTATAAGCAACCAATATTCATAAATTCCTCTGGAAACTCACTTCAAACAGGAAAAAACATGTATAGTTCCAAGTTCTAATTGTGTTAGTCTCTCTTAGTAGTAAATAGACATTCAAACAAGGTGCAAAGGAAACATTTTTAATATGCTCAACAAACTGCTAACAGCAAAAATCACAGCACCTTTTTTCTCACGAATCAGTCAAGTCATTGAAATGATTACATTTCACAACAATATTGAAGTTAGTTACTATCATCTTATGGATATAACTAGGACAATCTTCATTCACAGTGTTGAATGATATAAGGCTTGAAAAAGAAAGCAGTCAATTACCCAAAAACTATTATGCCCAATAGCCCATTTTGAGCATAAAGGCCATTTGGTAAATGGGGAACAAATTACTAAAGCTGAAGTTCTCCTTCTCTCTCTCTCTCTCTCTCTCTCTCTCGACAATACAATCACAATTGAGCTAAATAGAACAGAGAAAGAAGCTTATTTCAGCATAAGTTATGTTCTATTTATTTATTCCCCATATAACCAATCCAAAAAATAGCACTTAAAAAACCAAACTTTCTCTTCACAAAATTCTTCTGCAACGCACAAAAACTCAAGAAATGAAAAAGAGACCCAGAACTGAAAAGAGAAGAGCTTTTAAACATAAAAACAAACACAATACGTGCATACATGCATATACATATATTTACATACATATATGTATATATTTGTATATATAGATGTATATGAAGAAACCCAAGTGGGAATTTGTAAATGAGAGACAGAGAGACTCACAGAGAAACACAAGAGAGGAGTCATGAAGGTGTTCTGGGTGGGCACCGCTTTGTACAATCCCAACCACACACAAAACTATATGGAGATTCAGCTTCTATTTATGGTGGGTAAAATTTGACATTAAAAATGGTAAAGTACCAATATTTCTGCTCCACTTCTACGCCAGCTTTTAGACCAAAACCAACCGTAAAGACTAAAGAGTACAAAAGTCGGCTCCAGCCTCCACGTTCATTAATTTGGCTTGGCGAACGTAAATTTAGAATTATAATTTAAAATTATTTTTAATTTATATGTATTTATTATATAAAAAAATATTATAATAAATTACGAATTATAATTTATTATTAAGATTTTGTTTTGGGGTCTACTTTTTCATTTTGTCTAACTAGTTTGACTGTAGATCTTCCAGTTTGATTAAACCTTTAATTCTCTTTTACTATCATAAATCCCCATTTTATTGGAGAAGTTTGTGGTAGGTAACAAAAAATAATTAAATAATAAAAATAGGCCAGCAAAAAAAATGAAACAAATATTTTTTTTTGACAGAATAATACACAAATTTCTATCAAACTCATATTATTAGTAAGGAATGTAGTAAATAATAGATTTTTAAAACTAAATTAAGTAAATATTCTAAAACTATTTGAAGTAATTAACAATTTAATTATAAATAAAGCATTTACCGAGTATGCAAGTAAAAACATTTTTCACGTAATTTTTTTTGTTATCACTGGTTAAAAGAATTTTTTATGTAAATATAGATTTTTTTAATACATAAGTTAATTTTTACTAGTTGTAAATAAATCATTTATATGGTAAATAATTCATTTACTATATAAACTATTTTTTACTTCAAATAGCTTTAGAATCTGCTATTTATTTAATTTAATTTCAAAACTATACTATTTACCACAATTTCCCTTATTATTATTTGTTTAAAAGCGTAATTGGTTTTCTTTAATAAAGACATAATAATTCTATGAAATGAAAGAACTTTTTTTCGCTTAATCTATCAAAAACTTATCCCTCGTGATAGGTGATTAAGTTTTTACACAATTTTCAATACAATTACTAATATCAATTAGAGGGTTTTTTAATAGAAAAATGAACTATCGATAATTTTTTTACTTTCATGTAGTCAGATTTGTATCAGAAACTATCTGTTCTGCATACTTTTTCAATCTGATGTGATTTTAATCAAATTTAATGATCAGAACTCAACTCTTACTAGTAGGGAGGTCAACCGGAAAAGCTCCCTATTAATTATATGTTTAGTATAAAATAATTTAATAAAATGATTTAATAAAAAAATATAATTGATGCATTGGTTTTTATTGTACTACGTTGCATAATATTGATTTGGGGCCATATTATTATTTGGGGGAAAGAGGAAAATAGGCCAAGACTTGAGATGAATTAAAATTAATAGGCCAATAGTTTACATAAGTTAATAAATAGGCCAAATTACTGTTTTTATCCATAACATGTCTGGTTTTGAACCATAACTTGACAAGTTATTGTCCATAATTCACGATTTTTGTTCATAACTTATCTAGCTATGAACCATAACTTGACAAATTTATACATAACTTATTTGGTTATGAACCATAACTTGACAAGTTATAACCTATTAATTTCTATAACTAAAAATTAGCCTATATACTTTCTTAAGCTTTTCATATTGGCCTATTTTCTACTATTTCCGTTATTATTTTCTCTGTGAAATTTTAAAGCTTTGGCATGTGTAAAAGAAAAGTTTTTTAAATAAAAAATAGAAATACTATAATTATTTAATGGAAAAATAACACATTAACAAATAAACGACTGAATGTCAAAATCTAACGGACACTATATTTGGTGTTAAATTTAACACAAAATATAGCATTTATCATGTATAACATTGTATTAGAAAATGATTTTCTTATCCAGAAATTAAGTTTTTAACATTACATATGAGATGTTCTAGGTGAGTGATTTGCACCTTTTTTTTTAATTTAATAATAGTTCAAAATAAAATCTTCTTGGTGCAAATCATATTTCCCTTTGCACACAAGCATGCTATAGATCAGTCTATAAAATAACTTGGGCCATTTGGCTTACCAATTGGTTGTTGCACCAACTACTCCTACCCTTTTTCTTCCAATCAAAATGCATGGCGTTCACACATCATACTGGAAAATGATTAGTAAAACATCAAAGTAAAAAAAAAAAAAAAAAAAGAACAACGTTATTTATCATTAACATTGGTGAATCATTATACACATAGCCGTAAAATAAAATTGTGATATAAGAAAAGTAAAATTATTGAATCTCATATTATATTTTGATGTACTGAGATATGTGTATGATGCATGCACCTTTCTTGATAAAGCTTCTTATATAACATCGTAAGCCTCTGTATAATAATCATACTAATTAATAATAATAATAATAATAATAATTGAAATATACTTATATGTATGTATATATGAATGAATATATTTATATTTTTTGGGGTCTGTGTGTTTGCAACTTGCAATGCCAAGGGGAAGGAGGAAAAACAAAAGATCAGTTTAATTCGTTGATTCGAGTTTTTAATTCAAGTTAATATGTGACTTTATGTGAAAGTTTTTTACTGTAACAAAAGAATTAGATGTGACTGTTTTTAAGAACTTTTTACTGTAATAAAATTTAAATTTTAAACTCAAATTAGTGAAATAAACAAAAAGAACGAAATTTCTCAGCCATTTTCCATGTGATTAACTGCTTATCTTTTGGCGCATCTTTGATAAGTAGATAAAGGACGACCAAGATAATTGCGCATATGATTCGTATTCTAAATTATCAACAACAATCCTGCCACGTGCTTCCCACTTAAATTAAATTAATGATAGATCCTCATAACCAAGAACATTTTTGTGCTTTATATATATATATATATATAAACCTTATTTGATAAGCTAATATATTAGTATATTAAATTTTTTGTTAAATTTATATAAAATCACTTAAAAATAAATTTAATTGTTAAAAAATCTTGTTCTACCAGTATGTATGTCACGTGTACAGAAAATCTCTCTTTTTTTCAAAATTATTTGTCATATGACATAAGCCATTATGTCAAACAACAGTTATATTTCATTTCACTTATTTTATTTTTCTCGTGTTTTTCGATTTTTTTCCCTAAATGTGCCAATAGTTATAGGAAAAAGATTATTTAATCCATAGTAAAAGTTTTCCTCCAAGATTACAACTGGAGTAATGTCTTTTTCGATTACCATGATAAATGCCGTGCATGCAAACATCCGGATTCCTGATTATTATTATTATTATTCTTTTAATGGCGTGTTAACTACTTTCATTTATTTATTTATTTATTTATTTATTTTAATAAATCTCACGTGAATGAAATATTTTTTTTATTCCCTATAATTTACAACCCATTTGCAAGTCATTCGGTGTAGTATTTTCCTATGAGAAAATGGGTGAACTCACCACTTTTTACAAATTTTTACTATTTATTTTTTTATTTTTATCACTGTTTTTATGTAACGTGCGACCCGGATTACTTTTCTAGCAAAAAAACATGCGACCCGGATTTCGGCTGTTTTATGATGAAAACTGTTGATTGTTTGAAAAACAAAATTGTTGAAATCTTTTCAGGTGTTAGTTAGCTTTTTTTTTCAGAAGCTAATGTCATTTTTCATCGTCTAAACTTTATTCATTTTACTGATTCGAGTTTTTAATTTTAAATTTTTACAGTTAAAAACTCTCAAAAAATATCACATCTAACTTTTTCTGTTACAGTGAAAAGCTTTCAGAAAATGTCACATCTAACTTTTTCTGTTACAGTGAAAAGCTCTCAAAAAATATCACATATAACTTTTTCTGTTACAATAAAAAACTCTCTAAAAATATTATATCTCAATTCAAATTCACAGAATGAACGAAATCTAATAGTTAAAATTTGTGTTGCATGATGCATCATTACTTTATGGGATGTACTATAGTTTCACAAATAGAAAAGTAGATGTGTCCGGAAAAGAAAGCGGTCCAACCCAGTCCAATTGAGTAGAAGATCGGCTCTGCCCAAGCAAAAAAAGTTTGACTTCGGACCGGCGAGTTGGGCCTGACCCAAATCGATACCTCTATAAAGAAGTCACGACTTTGTTTTAAATTAACTACTTGATAAATGTTAGATTACTCATTTTGTCGTTATCTTTATCACTCTTTACGTTGACTGTTTGATACATAAATTTTACTAACATAATATATTATTATTTAAACATAAATAAAAATGGTAGAATTTACGTGTTAAACAGTGAGTGCATAGACTGATAGAAAGAGTGATGCTAATATTTCTCCTAATTATTTTAGCATAAGCAAAATCAAATCAAATTGACAAACATAACATAATCAGCACCTTTGGTCAATCATGGATGTCAGGACATATTGGCAAATCAAAGATGTTAATTTCCTCTTGGATTTCAACAAAATTTTGCATTTCCATGCAAGCACAAGGGCAAGTAATATGTGGCTAAATCTTATCACTTGATTGTCTTGTACTAATATGAGCTGCAATAAGGGGTTCAAGATTTCCATCCAACACAGAATTCAGACCAGGAAGCTGAATACCAGTTTTTACATCCTCTACCAGCTTGTGGGGATTAGACATGTACTTCCTAGTGTCTTTTCGCCACAAATCAATAATGGCCTCATTTTTTATGTCGCTTACACTCGAAACTCCTTGTTCTTGTGCAATCACAAGAAGCTTGGCCTTCAGTCTATTAAGGGCTTTGATCCGATTTGCGAATTGTCTCCTCTCCCCTGCACATACATGGACAAAGTTTAGGGACCTAGAGTGATTTATGCAAAGGGCCGAATTTCGGCACCGTGATGTCATAGCTAACCGCACACCTGCTGATTGAACACTTATGCCAGTAGGAATATGCTCAATGCAAACTGAAGGTCCAGTATCACTTTGCTCTTCTTCAGGCATCGAGGGCGATTTGATAATCAAATCCTCATCGTTGATATGAAGGTCCAATGCATTTTCAACGAACACCGGGACAACATCCACAACTGCCGAGGCACTCTGCATGATATCCACAAATTTGTCAAGCTGTGAGTTTTTGAGCAAGATGTTTATGAGACAACTTATTTATTTAATTTTAACAGCAAATCCTTGCAGGACAGAGATATGAAAAATGAAAAGAACATAAAGATGCAGTTTTGCTTTTAACAGAAAATATGGAATGTAAAACCATGCTTTAGTGTTTTTTTCCAGAATCAATAAGAAGGTAAAGTAACAATTTTAGAACCACCAGATAGCAGTTCTAAATTGGTAGCCCAATTGATGAAGAGCAACACCCGAAAAAGGACCCAAAAAAAAAAAGAGATGATCAATGATTGACTTTTTTTTTATGAAATACTAGTCGAAGAAAAAACAAAGATCTATGTTTTTTATTTTTTTGCTCGAGAACCATACTAAACATAATATACAAAAGATCTATAAAAGAACTAGGAGCTAAATCATAAAAAACCATAACCATTTAACAAATAAATCACACACTGACCCATAACATCATTTTTTTCCCCTCATGTGGAGCGGTTTTATAAAGATCCATCACATGATATTTCTCACTTTCTTGGGTATAATCTAAGATCTGTGTTCGGTCAAAGCAAGAACAAGAACAAGAACAGAAATTGTGTTTGTACCTCATGCAGAGCAGATCCATCCTGACAACCTCTAATCATGTGGTGAACACCCCTTTCTCCTGAAAGATAGCCATAAGCAAACTTAAATTCAAACTCAATAGTTGCCAACTTAATGCCGCCATTCATGGAAGAACGCTTCTCAACCACTCTCCCTTTATACCCTTGCCTTTTCGCCCATTTGGTATACATTCTTAAGAGTTGACTTGCCCATATCTGGACATGAAAATTTAATAAACGAACTCAGAGAACAAGAGAAAATGAGCGCTCAAAGGAGGAAAAGAGATAAGCACAACAGAATCATTATGCAGCAAGGAATGAAAATGATTTAACACATCAAACAAGATTCAAAAGTATATTATCAGTCAATATTCTGTAAGCGCTATAATGAGCTTAAATAGATTGCTCGTCTGTGCAGAGATGAATTTAAGCTAGCTAAGACGAATGGGCTATCAACGTCCAAAACCATCATAGTTCATCATACTCGACAAATTTCCTTCGGGGTCAACAGTGAAAGAATATCCTCACTTTTGTTCCAAAAGACTAATTCGAGCTATAAAATGTTAAGTATATGTCTATGCACTTTTCTTCTACATATTACACAATCCGGACAGCAATATCAATAATTGAATATTCATCTTCTAGTTGGGATTCTGAACCAAGAAAACTAGAGTCAATCCATCAATTTATGTAACTTATGATTCTCATAGGAGTCATGTTGAACATTATATCTATAGTTCAATTTCATTGAAATATAAAGCCAAGTTAGACCACTGAACTCCAAACACATGCATTTTTTCTAACACTTTGCGCAAGCTAGAAGTTCAACCCCACTATGAATGCCAATTTAAGAGATTATTTAGATTATCAAACCTCAGAGTAGCCTTCAGATCTAGCTTTAATAACTACACATGCCCCTTCAATGTCACAAGGCCCCTTAAGAAGCTTGGACATCTCATACTGATCCAAAGCCTTGCTCACGTCTAGAGATGCATTATATGCTTGCTTAAAAAGCCCGTAGTTGATAGCGTCCATCTCGGCCAACTGGGTTATTAGCTTTGCCTCTTCAACCTGCAGAGATGAGCCAAATGTAGTCAGAAAATCACCATTCCTCCATCTAGAAAAGAAAAGTCTAAAAATGATTGAAGCAATTTCGCACAAACAAATTCTCATATAGACAACTTGTATCTCAAATAGATAACTTGTGTGAGTCCCTAACAAAATGAAACCATTTTTCATTATCATCACCTTATATGTCAAATCCTTTAGGGCATCAACTACTTTGGCACTATCAGCTAACTTGGCAAGAATTTCATTAGATTTAGCTGGATCATCCCAGAGGTCGTAGGCCCGTATCATTTCTTCCTGTTTATTCCGTCTCGCCTCTTCAACTTCGAGCGCCACCGGCGCCAGCAATTCGGCGCGGAGAACTGCATCTTCAATCTTCCTTTTCAATGCAAATAGTCCTAAACAAACACCAAATTCTACTTGAGACCTTATGAGACAATTACATATATAAACACAATGATAAACAATACAACAGAAAACCAAAATATTCCAATTCCTAGTTCCTCAAGGAAGAGTGAGGATCAACTGATAAATTCTCTCAAACAGATGATATGCACCCATGAACACCAACCTAAACTTCTTCCATTCAGCCATTTTAAAGCTTCAAACTTCCATAAAAATACAACATTCTAGCATCAACCCACTTGGCAGTTTTGAACGTAATACACAAAATAAACTTTTTTTTTGTTGCTGAAGTTTTTAAGTATAGCCACCACACATACAGTCATGCACAAATGACAAAACAGCATGTTTAGCAAATCAAAGAGAGAAATGTGAAAATACCCAGTTGTTTGTAGACCTTGTTCTTGTCTTCATCCTGGGAATAAGAAGCTCTAACAGTAGAATGTGAAGAAATCCTCGTTTTGTGGCCTTTGCATTTTGAGCTCAGCAAGCTTGTTGCGGTACCACCAGGTTTTCTTACAAACGCCGGTTCTGTGGCCATGTTCATTACCATAAACTGAGAGAAACTAAGAAGAAGAAGAAGAAGAAGAAGAAGAAGAAGAAGAAGATGGAAGATAGAAGATTTTTCATTACAGGAAGGTCAAGAGAAGACTGGTGGTGGCAAGCTGAGAGCTGTATCGGACCACGTAAACAGCTTTACTCCCACCGCTTTTTCCTCGTCACTTCCATTGCCTTATCCTCAACTCAAACTCAAGTCTGCTAGCCACTATGCAAATTACAAAAAGTAAGTGGAGAGTAGTAAAAGCTTTTTTTTTTTCCCATAAATTTGTACCCGTAATATAATCTTATTCAATATGTACCTCATCGTTTCAATAAAATCAAAACAATATTTGTAATTTTATAAAAGTATATCATTTAATTATCTAGTATTTAGCTTTTTTTACATGTAAAATCCCACTTTCTAATAATAAATTTTTTAGAACTTAAAATTAAAAAAAAAAGAAAAAATTTTAGAATTTATGAGTCTAAATTTTTATCTCTCATTCTTGATTAATACCTATTTTATTAGTATAGTTATTTAACTAAAAGAGTTATTAATCAAAATTAAGATATAGAAATCCTGACATTATGACATATACACTTTTAAGGGTATTTATTTTCTTTTTCTTTAAATTTAAAAATTAATGTGACAAACATTGTCCATGGGTTCAATATTGTCTTTTTAATTTTTGATTTGTTTAAGTTGATCTATTACGATTAAAAGGTCAATAAATAATAATAAAAAAATGAGGTTAGTTTTGCACGGTCAATAAATAATAATAAAAAATGAGGTTAGTTTTGCACTTTTCCCAATCTTATTTTATCTCTTCTAGTTAATTAACCTGAATAGTAATTCAAAAAACATAAAAAATTAATTAATTAATTCTAAAAAGCATATGAGTAATTTAAGGAATTTTTTTGTTCGGATTTTATTTTTTAAATATGTCTCTTGAATTATTTATTTAGGCCATCCTATTAGAGGAAACAAATAAAAAATAAAAGAGTTAGATCAATGACTTTGTTTAATTCCAAGTTGAAATAATGGAAAAATAAGTGGAACTTTCACTACCAACTAACTAGAGATCTCATTTGCGTTTCGTGTTTTCTTCGCCCGTTCATAATCGATTAGGCTCATATTTGCTTTATCTCATGCTAGGATTGACCCAATGAAGTTTCCTATCACGTTGCTATTAGATCAAGACTAAAATTTGAAGGCTGTTTAGTTTATTAATTTGAGTTTTTAATTTAAGTTGAGATATGATTTTATACGAGAATTTTTTACTGTAATAAAAAAATTAAATGTAATTATTTTTGAAAATTTTTTACTATAATAAAATTTAAATTCTAAATTCGAATCGGTAAAATGAGAATGACCTAAATCCATGAGACCTTTGAGCTCTCAAGCCCCATATTTACGGTAAATAATTTATTTACAAAGCATATTTACCGTAAATATATTTTGTAAATAAATCATTTACTGTAATTATGTTATTTACCATAAATATTTTCAGAAAAGTGTTATTTAGCTCTTTCTCTCTCAAAATAATTATTGTTTCTTACAAGTTAATTTTTTTTTAAAAAACTTTTCAAATATGAAAATAATTCATTAAAGGTAAAAAAAAAAAAAATCATTAATATTACATTGTATAACTAAAACTTGGTGTGTATATTCTTTCAAACAAACAAACAAAAAACTTAGTGTGTATTCAATTATGAGTTAATTATATTTATGTATGTTGCACAATATGTATTGAGTTAATTATAAGACATTAAAATAAAAATTACACAATACAAAACGGCAAAAAAAGAAAAATAGTGTGTGCTGGCACATTGGCCAACGGAGCGCGTTGTGTGCTATTGTGTCATGCTTAGAGCAAGTAATATGGATCACAATACGATAATACGATTCGAAAACGACACAAATTTCACAGGTTAAGGTTGAGAAAAAAGATATTCGAGTCATAATTGGATCGACCTCAAATTGACACGAAAAACACGGGTCAATTTCAGGTTGAACCCGCCTAACTTAAACACGACACAAAACTCATAAAAAATTAAAAAATATATATTTTTCATTACATATTTTTTATTTTATTATGAACTTGTAATATCGTGATAGTTACACTTAAAATCTTATATTATTATTTGCTTAATTTCAATGGATATTATTATATTTTAGTGTGTTATGAATTTTAAATTATTTCTAATATGTAAAAAATTAAATAAAAATATACAATTTTCGTGTCAATTTTAAGTTCACAGGTCATTCTCATGTCGTATCGTGTCAACCTTTAAAGTGGTCGTGTCGTATTTGTGTTACAGTTTTAAAAAAATTTCGTGCAACGGATCGTATTCAAGTTGACTATAAATTTAAAAAAAAAACAATCAAAACACGACACGATACGTTACACAAATTGCCACCCCTAGTTTAGAATTTGAGTTTTTCTACAGTAAAAAGCTCTCACAAACAATCACATCTAACTTTTTTGCTACAGTAAAAAACACTCACATAAAGTCACATCTAAATTCGAATTCTAAACTCGAATCAGCGAAGTGAACGGGGCCGTAGAAAACCATGAGACCGGCACAGCTCACTCCATGCGTCGTGCTTGGTCAGAGTTAACATATATGGCGTTTACGCGAAATTGTGACATCTGAAGAGCATTATAGCAGTAAATAGTTTGGTGTTCTTCTCTTTAAAGAAGATCAAAAAATTTGACCAAAATATACATAGCATTTACTCTCGGTTTCTCTTCCTTTGTGACCTCATTTTAGAGTGGGAATAGAGTGCCTGTACGAGATCTAAACTACAATCAACCAAATATCCACAGCTTCGCATAAATCAGAGTTTTTTTTTTTTTTTTTCCTACAAAGATTCTGCAAACTGTGGAGCCTCAAAGTCAAGCTCTTGTCTCATGACACAATTCATAAGCCAATCGCTGCTAAAAGTCCATATGCCCTTCTTTACAGCCACGATTGCCTCATCCATGTCTTCTTCGCATGCCACAAATATTGTCTTTGAAGCTGCATTTACTTGGCTCAGCTTACCAATGATCTGCATTTTTCAAGACAACAATTAATGGCATAAAAAATGAGAATCCTCGAGGACTTTCAGAGGCATTTGGCATTAAGAATCTAAGTGAAACTGTGCGAAAGAAGATTAGTTTCCCAATGAAGTAAAGAATCGTTCCTGAGTTATACCCTTTATGGTTTAGCAAGTTTCATTTTGGTTTTATATGCATTATTTACGAGTATGGTGTGATTATTCTAGACTACCAAAAAAAGGTTATTATTTCCAACATAAGCAGGCCAAGGTAATTCAGAATTGAGTCGGACGATATTTATACATTGCCACCAGCGGATCTGACAATGGTAGATAAGGGCTTCGCTGAGGATTGACCATGAGTAGCTATGCATACGTCGTATCCTTTAAGCAACATTTGCGGACTAGCTTTGGCTCTGAGGACTGCACTTCTTAACTCAGCTCTATACTTCAGGGCATACTCTTCGTCATTTAATATGTAAGGTAATTCATCTGCAGATTAATTAACATCCTTTTAGTGCTAATTAATTAGGGAGCACCAGTAAACAACATAGTCCTTCCAACTCACCTACAAACCTGCCTTGTCGATAGCTTTCTTTTAACCAAGAGGGTGAAACTACCCAAGCTCTGAAAAATGGAAAATGCACTTGTGTAATCAATTATGAGAACTAAGAATATATGTTTGGATATAGACAGCCATGTTAAACCAAACACAATACTCAGAAAACTCAACATAAACAGGATATGCAGAAGAACCAATAGGTCAAATGTTGAGCTGATATTCTCGTAATTAATGGGCAACTCTCCAACGGGATAACGTGAACTGATGGATGGATAACAGGACGTCAAAATATGTTGCCTCGTATATTTAAGGAATATGTTCAGTTTCAGGATGTTATTGAGATAAATTAGTTCAAGCCGCGAACTGCCACTTAATAACTAGAGACTTCAAAGTTTGTGAGATTCTAAAGCAAAGTTTGGGAATGGAAGTAGAAAGAATCAAAGAGATCCAAGTTTAAGCAGTGTAACACTAGAAGGACCCAACCACTAACCCTGAACACAGAGCAGTGCAGAAATTCAGAGTCGCTCTGACTTTTCCGGTAATAACATGAGTACTCGTACTTCCATCAGAAGTAATGGAACCACCAAGCTCCGTTATTACCTATACCCAAAAAAAATAAATAAATAAATAAATCATAAATCATAACAAAAATGATATAATAAAAGCAAAGAAGAAAACAGAAATGCCCGTGACTCGAGATATGATGTCATCTCAATTAAATATTCACCAATAGTGTTCGAAATGAATTAACAAGCTGGGCGTACCTTTGTAAGGACTTCTTTCTTGGTATCATCAGCAATATTCATCAACATGATTTTAAAACACTCTGTGTGAGGATGAGATTCCTTCCTGACAGAAACTTCAGATAGTATGTTACCCTGTGCACAGGTTTCAGCAATGTTTTCCTTGTAACTACTAGTAGAAGGATCCTTAGGAGGAAGTCCCGTCAAGGATTTATTTTCTGAAGCGACCAAAGGGCACGTGTGGTAACAAGAACCGTCTCTGCCACTTTCTGAATCTAAACTCCAGTTAGACCCTGATTGGCAGCCAACTAAATAGCTTCCCTTTACTTTCTTTGACTTCAGTGAAGATAATGAAGCTTCCCAAACCCTCTTTGCGCCTGAACCTTGGGTAGAAGAACATCGCATTACATCAGCATCAACTCCAGCCTTGTATAACTCCTCAACAGAAACAAATTTGTTCGACTTTCCTATATTAAAAGGAAGTGAGTCCCTATAACCCTGCACTTCATCTTGGCACCGAGAATCTGCCAAGAATGGGCATTGTAGATGGTCACGTTCTTGCAAACTAGGTTTTGCAAAGGAATCCGCATAAAACATACGGTGTTACACCAGTAAAAGATCATTATTATTGATTAATCTTTTTTCACGTTTGCTGAAATTTTAGCTTTCTTAAATATAATCACAGGAACTAGAAAGAACATCCAATTAATGCAAGGCTGATAAAAGAGATGTAATTTCGGAATTTCCTGTACAATGAAAGCCACAAGAATCTTCAAAGTGGAAGAAGTAAATTCTACTTACCATCTAATTTCTTATCTTCTTTTGCGAGCCCGTCATTTACAAGCATTTCAGGTTGAGCAGTTTCACTTCCGTTAACAATTTGATTCAGTGCATTCACAGTATTAAAACCCTCTATAGAAAAACCAAAAGCGGGCTTTTCCATAACAGCAGAGGATAATTTTCCATTAGGCTGTGATGGAAAACCCAAGTTCAAAAAGTCTGCAGAGGCGGCTGAAACGTCTTGCTTAAGATGTGAAAGCATTAGGGTTGAACCACCTGGGAAGCATAATGCTTTGCGAATGTCAGCTTTAATAGGTAGCCTGCGAGCTTTTCCCTTGACATCTACCTCTGCTACTGATACGAAACCCTGCAGTTTTCAGTTTGTTTTCAAAAAGCAAATGAACAGCAAATTTTGAAACAAGAATAATGAAAATAAATTCGAAGAGTTGAGTGAATTTGGAAACCTAATTTAGTACAATGCATAACATAAATAGAGATATTACCCAACACTTTAGCAAGCACACGCAAACAAGTTAAAACATGAAAAGCATCAAAGTCCTTCCTATTATGGGTTAAAACTGAAAATCATATCTGTAGTCTTGAAGAGATTGCCTTCCCAGGAAGAAGTACTCAAAAGAAAGAGAGAGAGATAGAAATAGATAGAGACAGAGAGAGAGTAGGTTTTTTTTTTTTTTTTTTTTCCTGTTGGTAAAGGTGATCTTGTAAAAATAACCGACTACAAAAGGTACCAGAGAGAATATAATGAGAAAACACGTAGAATACTCATTCAAAATACAAGCATATGAGATCATCATATCCTGCTTTGTCCTGGGAAACAACATTCAGTATTACCTGTTTATGCCAAAATGCTTCAGATTCCTTGTCTCCCCAACAGATTATCGAGCAGACACCTACACTCTGAAGTCTCTTTCTTAACTCCATATACAATAGACGACCTATTCCCTACAAATTGAAAGGCCTATATGAGATTGTTATTCTCAGAGTCAAGGGATTTTATAATGAACTCAACTATATCAAAAGTAGTAGAAACACTAGTGAAAAAAGAAACTGAAGATACCATGGAAATAGATAAGAATTCATTCATAAAGAGTAAAAAAGCACAAGATGTTTAAAGGCTACGCAATATAGTTTAATCGCTCATCAAAAGGCAAAACATTGGTGCTTAATTAGTTAAGACGGATCGCAACCAAAAGGAAACCAAATAAAAGAAATTAAAATATAAATATTGGACTTAAGGTATCAAGACATCCCACTTCTCTCTATTGTACTGTTTCTAAATCCTGTATGTTTGCAAGTTCTTATGGAGAAATTTTATTTTGCTTTCTTGACATATTATGAAGCCTAAAGCATCATAACTGAACAAGAAACAGTGGCAAAATATTAAGCGATCCTATTAAGAACAAGGCATTATAATACAAGTATCGCAAGCAACAAAATGTTAAGGAATGCACGCTTTGTGAGTGAAAACTAAATAATAATAATAATAATAATAAGACCTTTCGTTGGTAGACTGAACTGACAGCAGCAAGAGGAATCTCAGCATATTGTGTGTCAAGAGGAACTATTTGATAAGTAATTGCTGCTATAACCTGTATGAATGAAGAAAGGAAGAGAGATGAGGAAAGGCATTGTTACAAGTTAATTCATTATGGTGTCTCATTTGCGTAAGCTATTTGTATTTTGCGAACAAATAGTAGAGACGAAAGAGATCCACAAGGAAATTGGTTAAGCTTACCTCTTCATTACCTACTGCGGGCATAAATTTCAAAAGCAGCGTGCAATATTTCCTGGGGAAAGAGCTATAGGTGGTTAATACTTAAACATGACCATAAAGTGTATTGATTATGCATAACCATTGTCGTAGTTCACATTTTGAGAAAGAGCTAAATCCAATAGAAGCATGTACTAAAAGGGAGGGTAAAAAGAAAACTGATTTTACCCATTCATTACACATCTTTCCAAGAACATTGATTGCTTTCCAGTATTTGCAGCATAGTTCATCGTGGGAAGTTCTGTCGCATACATCTTTAACACTTCCTACATAAACGCATTTAACTATAATGAGTTCAACATCTTCAGTACCAACCCAAAACAATGTTGTTATGTGCAAAATGAGTAAAATTTACCTGAAGATATGATCTACTAGCGCTATAAACATCTTTAGGATTAATAAGCATAAATGAAAACTTGCCCCCATCCGAAGCCTCTCTCTTCCCCTCCTCTGAATAAAGCCAGAATCATATCATCACACATCATTTCGATGTATCGCATACTCAAAACTTCAAAATGCTCAAGTTACCACAGAAATTTTTAATTTTGACAAATTATTCTCTGATTTTAACAAAGCATGCCCCTAAGTCAGTAACATCTGTTAAAATTTACATGGAAACGACATCATACACATTACACGAGCTCTCTCAAAGGAAAAAACTTAACGTTTCCTTCCAAATTTCAATCTTATGTATTGATTTGAGGACTCTCTTCAACATTTAATTAGATTTTAAATTTACTATAATTAAACTTCAAGGCATAACTTGCCAATTCAGTCAAAGTGTAAGAAATCTAAACTGCTAACACTTTTCCTGGTATTTTCTTTCTTTATTTATTTATTTAGAAGTGAAATGAAGAGTGAAAGTTTCATAAACAGTTCCTTATATCTTTTAAAAAAAAAATGGAAGTATTACCAAGAAATTAAGTTATAAATGGATTACCTCCTTCGTTAGATTTAGAACGCCCAATATCATCCTCGCGGCTCTTCTCATTAGCGTATTCCCTTACTGAAAAGCACACAGAACAGAAGCAAAAGATAGAAAACCGTAACAAGCTCAATAGTCAATCCTCATAATCACCTGAAAACGAGAATCGAACGAACATTACCCGAAATTCGGACTTTTGCATTTCTCGAAATGGAGATTTTGAGACCTTGCTCATCTGATTCGCAAGCGTATTTGCATGCTTCCACTATGACCTCGCAATTCCCTGCGAAGAGGAAAATCAAAAGAGCAGAAATCGAAAACTGAGATCGCGAAATGATCGTTTTGATAGATCAGAGCTTTTGATTTCTGGAGGAATTTAGGGTTCCGTTACCGATTGAGATTGGGGAGCGAGACGATGAAGGAGCCGAAGCGGTCTTTCTTCGCGCCATTATTATTACGTTCGTGTGTTTTGGGGTTTTGAATAAAAATTGTACAGGAATTGGAGGGAGATGGTTTAAATAGTAAGCCTACAGGGGTATTCGCGTAAATAAACATTGATTCCTTGGGAATCTATTTAACCGGTTAGCGCATGCATTTTTTACAATTTTTTTTTTAAATCTAAAATGTCTTCTAAAATTTAGTTGTACTAATTTATTATTCTCTTAAAATAAAAAACAAAAAACAAGCAAAAAAAAAAATACAAAAGGGAGATCCGTTGAAAAACCGATTGCCTTTGATATATGGGTACATATAAAAAATGTATTTTAGATGTTTCATACAAAAATTAGATAGGGACATATATAAAAAAAATTATTTTAATAAGACAATTAGGAAAAAATATTTACGAGGATCATATTTAAAAGAAGGGAAAAAAATGTGTGGTGGGAAGCAAAGGTAAGCGCAAATAAGGAGGGAGACAAAAAAAAAAGAAAAAAAGGGAAGAAAAAGACTAACAAATAGAAAAAAAAGGGACGAAACGTTTCGTTCCAACGAAATGCAGCAAACGAAATAGAAGAGCCGCTCATCACTTTTAAAATAGTAAGGATAAGGATTTAAAGGACCCGTTCATTTCACCGATTCGAGTTTTGTTACAGTAAAAAATTCTCATAAACAATCACATTTAACTTTTTTACTACAGTAAAAAGCTCTCACATAAATGCACATCTCAACTCGAATTAAAAACTCGAATCAACGAACTAAACGAAATGAGTTTATTATCACATTCTATTCTACTTTTGCCATACCCTTTTTCAAACCACCAATCAATTAAATTTTAAATTTTAATTATTACTTGTTATATCCTCCTTATTATTCCAAAAAAGTCCTTACAACTTTTTTTTTTTGCTACAACTTAATTATATTATGTGATTTTGTTCTTAAAAGTAATTATAATTCAACAATATCATAATTTATTAACAAAAAAAAAAGTATGAGAAGAGTTAACGGATGAGTGGCAAATATACTCGCATTTAATTTTTAGCTGGCAAGCACAAAAATTGAGCTTATGTTCTTTTTTTCCTAAAAATGAGAAATATATTCTAAAGTACGGCAATGCAAACATCAATTCACACTCGCACGATCTCTACTACTACGGAAAATACAAAACATCACCTGCAAATAATCAATTTCACCTATAATCTCTTCTTCCTTTTCTTTCCCCAGAGAAAAAAGATGAAATAGTAGAAAATGCACTATATTTTGGCTTCTCTAATATGCTTCTACTCTTATCTTGTATCTTTTTTGAGAGTGTTGATGGATGATTTGGTACCATGCCTGTATAAGGGTGCATACCTAATAATTTGTGTCCCGCGGAACTGTTTGGCTCGTTTCATGGGCCTAAACTAGGAAACCTTTGTGGGTCGTGGTTTGATGGGTTATGGGTAATCAAGTGGGCTCATTTATCTCTTAACTTTCGTATTAGTTTGAATATCGCTTGGGGTTCCCTAAATCAATCAAGTTAAGAATAAATGGATGACGGAGTCCTTAGCCCTTTCTCGAAGCATTCCTTGTGTGGGAAGCTCAAAACCCCTCGTTAAAGTCTACTTCTTTGTGTGTCTTTAAAGCTCCAATTGCTCCTTCAGTCCCGAGCCTTATCTTGTAAAACCTTCTCTACCGCCAAAAGGTATTTTTTCATCATCTTCTAGCTCAACAAAGGCTTTTTGTGTGCCAGACTTCTGTCTCAGAGCTACATTGCGTCTGCCTCTGAGAGAGTCCATGCGCATATCTTTGCTTCGCCTATTGAAGTTCCTCTGAGCAATTTGTGTCAGGTGCTCTAAATGATGGATGCTTAGCCATAAATAGCATGAGTCCAACTTGACATGTTTGACACCGTGATCAAACCTCCGAGAATGGAAATATTCATAGCATTTAATATGATCCCATGCCATCAAGTGTGTTTCAGACCTGGAAAAATGTTTTAATCATCATATATCTCAGAGTCTCGTCTTAATCTCCTTCTACTTCAGGCTATTAGTCCAATCACATATTTACTTTGTCCAATCTTTTTGCTTCGTAAATAATGGTGTATGCAGAGCTTTGTCAGAGCACCGTCGAACCGGCCACGGAGCAATTCTCCAAATCTTTCGTTATATTTTTAGGCATCCTTTTCAACGGGATAGCTGTAGATCTTTGCTTCAAATGAAAATGTTTGCTTCAGTTTCTATTAGATCTTTTTTGTACTACCCTGAACTGTCGCCGAATGCCTCCATTTTTTTCCCATTTTTGGTTTTTTTATTTGACAGCTCCATAAGGCTGGCTGACATCTTACTTTAAATGGAATTGTGCATGCATGCTTCCCTCAGAGCATGCGATAAGATTCCTTAGAGCAAACGCCACGACTTCTGGATTTCTCCTATAAATACCCATTTCCCTTCATATTCAGGGGACGAATCAAGCTTACATAGCTTACTCCCACTATGCCGAAATATTTCTAGAATTTCTCCATTTTCTCGAGTTGTTCTTAAGGTTATGCTCGTCTCGTCTGCCCCAAGCTGTGATGCTACTCAAGAAGCTTTGTCAGATCTTCGTATGCTCCCTCCTTTGAGCACTAAGAAGTTCTTGAGCCTTTACTGGCAGATTCAAAAGTATAAAAAGGGTAAAAAAAAAAGGCAGGCTAAAATAAAGAAATAAATAAGTTTTGAGTAAAAATGAAAAATAAATAAAACTTCAAAAAAAATAAAGAAAATGTAAAAAAGGACTAAAATGATAAAATAAGTAAGTTTTAAGGTAAAAACATAGAAAAAAATGAAAATTTAGGACAAACATAAAAAAGGATAAAAACTAAATTAAAAATTAATGCATTTTAGTACAAAAGAAACGAAAACAAAAAAGAAAATAAAACTTTGGGTCCAAAATAAAAAAAAAATGAATAGAAAAAGACTAAATTAAAGAAATAAAAAGTTAAAAAAATAAAAAGAAGGGCCTTTGAAAAAAGAGGGGAGGGGAAGGGAGGATTTCGACCAAAACGGCACAAATCCGTTTGGCTCTGTACATTTTTGAGTCTTCGTTTATATATATGTCTCGTTCATTTTACTGATTCGAATTTTTAATTTTAGATTTTTATAATAAAAAGTTCTTAGAAAATGTCACATTTAACTTTTTTTGCTACAGTAAAAAGTTCTAAAAAAATATCACATCTCAGCTCAAATTAAAAACTTAAATCCGCGAAGTGAACGAGGCCATAGATAAAAAAAAAAGGAGAAAGAGGGAAATAGGCCAAGGCTTGAGATGAATTAAAATTAATAGGCCAATAGTTTACGTAAGTTAATAAATAGGCTAAATTATTATTTTCGTTCATAACTTGTCCGATTATGAACCATAACTTGACAAGTTATTGTCCATAACTTATCTAGTTATGAACCATAACTTGACAAGTTTGTCCATAACTTATCTGGTTATGAACCATAACTTGACAAGTTATAACCTATTAATTTCTATAACTAAAAAATGACCTATATACTTTCTTAAACTTTTCATATTGGCCTATTTACTACTATTAAATTATTAAAAATAAAAAATAGAGAATTTACATTACTTTCCATTATAAGGGTGAACTCGTAATTTTATTAATAAAATCAAAATTTTTTTTTTTTTTTAATACTAAACAAGAGAACGCACTTTAACCTCTCCGACTCTCTCTTTCTTCTTCTTCCCTTCTCTCGCTCTCCTCCTCCTTCTCCTTCCCCTTCTCTGCTAGGGTTTGACGTACGACGGCCGGTGAAGCTCCGATGCCGGCCGAGTGAATCTACGACGGTATCTCTCTCTATCTCTTCCAATCTGCTCTCAAAAATCGTTCTTGAAACGTTGAAAATAATGTGTTGAAAAATCAATTTAAAAAAAAATGAGGAAATTATCATCGTCCTTTTCTTTTTCCATTTGTCTTCGCATGATTTTGCATATTTTTTTGTTCGTTTAATTTCTGCTTCCATTTATCCGATTTGCATTTGAATTTTTTCAAACTTGCATGAATTGGTGTGCTTTTCGGTATATAAGAATTAAGAGAAGGCAGTCAAATTGGAACGCTAAAGGTGTGGCTCTTTTCTTTTTTAGTTTGGATTTTGTTGAATTTGGCGTTTAGCTTACACCTAAATAGCATTTATTTTCAGAAGAGATGTATAAATCTGGGCTAGACTCAATTCTGATCGATTTGAACTTGTTCTTGGGATGGGAGTTTATTTGAAAGTGGTTGATTTTTTTCTTTTTTGTTTTTTGGGATGGGAGGGTTGCGGTAGGTTGACGGTCAGCGTAAAAATAAGTTACTCTCATGAATTTCACTTCCATAAGACCTGCGTAGAAAAGTGAAATCCATATAGTTGAGATTAAGATTAAGGCTTGTTGTTATTATTTTTTAGATTATCCGGTAAGACATCCGGGTCTCTTTAAAGCTTGATGAGAAGGATTTTCTTGGTACCAGTACAAGGTGTTTTACTTGTGCTATTTTGCTTAATATCATTCTGTTGACTTCTTTTGGTGTTGCATTGCTTTTTAACTGTGAAGTGCCTTGTAGTAGTTTCTGGGTAATTTTGAAATTTAGGACATTTGTTTGACTGTATTAGAACATGGTATTGTATAATTATACAATAATATAATATTTGGTGTGTTTGGTTTGACTATTAAATTGTATAAATTAATGCGGATGGTAAATTAATACGGTTTATGTCTTATTATTGAATACGGCTCATTTTTTACGTATTGTATTATTTTATAGTGGATCAATGATTCATGTTAAGATTGAGCACGTCTAGAGGTCAAGGTCGGGTTGATATAGGGTTACGCCAGAGCGTATAATTGTTAAAAAATTTAGGAGGCACAATGCAAATTTTATATTTATTTAAAATTACATTTGACCCCAAAACTTTTATAAAATTGCACTTTGACCCCATTTTTTTAAAAATAAAATTACTATTTGACCTCAAAACTTTTAAAAATTGCCAATTGACCCCAAAATTTTTAAAAATTGCCAATTGACCCCAATTACTAAAATTTTGCATTTTGACCCCTTATGATAATATAACACAATACAATACACCTTATGTAATACGACACAATACAAACTACCAAACATGACCTTAGTTTGTTAGGTGAAAAGGTTGTTGAATTATTGTACTTCTATGGGATGAAGTTGTAGAATTTGATTTCGGATTCATGGGGTTTTGTATATGCCAATTAACAAGGCGACTACTTTTCTTTTCCCAGCTCAATTTACGTTTTGTATATTTTTTTTTCACTTAATTATATACGTGTTTTTCCTTGATTTTTCAATTGTGTTTGGTGATTTAAAAGTAATTGAGGGTTTAAGATAGTTTATAAAGGTAAAGATAATTGCTATTGTTCATGAAAAAACTTTCTTAAAAAAATTGAAAAATATTCATTTACGCCATAAACAAAATTCTTAGTATGTACTGTGAAGCCTCGACACATGACTAACTTTCAGCAAGCAAGCAATGTTGATCAGTTCAAATTGACGATTTTCTTACTTTCATGCTTTGTTGTTAATTTGAGTGTTTGCTTGGTATAAACGTTTGTGAAGCTTGCGATTTTGCTAATTCAACATAGTTCCAACGCTTTTTTGGTGAAAAAAAAGTTCAAATCATGGTAATATGTTCTGCAAGTTTGGTTTTTGGTGCTATGGTATAGTTATTGTGAATTGTGACGTTTGGTGATGCCTTTTACATTGGGATGATGCCACATTTGATGTTTTCATATTGTCCCAGCATTGAATCTTTGCGTTAGTTCTGTGTGTGATTTTTTATTTTTTATTTTTTATTTTGCTTGCTCGGAAGAGAGATTTCTACAGTTTTGGGAGCCTGTGTGTGATATTTTAGATCGAAAAGAATTGTTGCTATTGTGGTCTTTTCAGATGCTTAGAGTATTTGTTATGTTATGTTGTTGAAACTTTAATCATATTAAGATATACGTGTGATTTGCTATAGAAATGGGCTTTTTTGGATGTCTGAAATCTAGCACAAGATTGCCTTGTGAGAAAAGAGAAGGCTTAGAGCCCGTTTAGTTCATGCGTTTAAACTAGTGATTCTTGATTTTAGCATTTGAAATTCAAATTTTTTTGTGAGAGGAAAACACTGTAGCGGAATCAAAATTATGGATTTAAACGCACGAAACAAACGAGCCCTTAATTATTCATTTTTCTTGCTCTCTTGTACGTAAATCATTGTGTGTTGTTTTATGTGTAAATTGTTGAGTTAGATATGAATATTGGGTATTGGTCAAGGCCCCAATAATAAAACGAAGGTTCTTAATTATTTGTCTTTTTGCACATACAAAGAATGAATTAATTAAACATTGGTTTGAATTAATAGGTTGGGGCATCTATAGAAGTATTTATTAACGTTACAAATATAGAGGCATTTTAAATTAGGGTACATAATTCAAAAAACAAAATTAATATTTTTCAAAATTTGAGGTCATGTTGAAAAAAAAGCACAAAATTCAGGAACATATATGAACTTAATCCTATAATCATCTTTCACAGGGTATTCCTGTAAATGTAACTATAGAAGTATTTATTAATTTTACAAATATAGAGGTGTTTAAATTAAGGTACATAATTCAGGAAACGAAATGAATATTTTTCAAAATTCAAGGTCATGTTGAAAAAAAAGCACAAAATTCAGGAACATATATGAACTTAATCCTATACTCATCTTTCACAGGGTATTCCTGTAAATGTAGCTATTTTTTTGCCGCAAGCGTAGCTGAGGCCTGAGCCAAAATTCAAGGTTGAAATCCCAATTGCAAAATAGGAGGGGCATCTAAACCATAAACATTCCAGCTGCCGTTGCCGCTTTCTTGCCCACTTCTTCTCATTAGATCAGTCAATGTCAACCTCAATTCGCAGCTAACAAATACCCATTTTTCATTTTTGTTTTCCCCAAAGCCCCAAAAAGATTTTTCATTTTCATTTTCATTTTCTACCAAAGCCCAAAACCCCTGATTGCCCAAAACATCAGAAAATGGCTTCAACGACCTCTCAGCTCACCTACTTCTCTGCCGTCAACCGTCGCCACAACAATCTCTCTTTCCCATCCCCATCTCTTCGTCCTCAGGTAACTAATCTCACCAAACTCTCCATATTTTTATTATTATTATTGTTGTTGTTGTTTTCTGTTATTTGAGGTAATTAACTGGGAAATCCCGTTTTGCGAGAAAAAGTCATGGGTTGTCACGGTCCTTGAATTCAGTTCTGAGGGAATTGGCAAGACCAATTTGAACTATGTGTCCAATCCGCAAAAAACCCACGTCGGAAGATTGGAGAATTCTTATCCTTCTGAGGAACGAGAGGACGTGAATTTGGGGACGGTTGAGCAGAAAAGAACAGCCAAGATCCATGATTTTTGCTTTGGCATTCCCTTTGGTGAGTTTTGTGTTTCTGTGTGTGTTTTTCCAAGTTGCCCATTAGAAAATTTCTTGCTGGGCGTTTGAGAATAGGATCTAAAGTTTGATTTTCATGGTCACATTTTTTAGATCGTACTTGTTAATTTACCAGTTTGACCAACATGACTATGAGTGCTGCTAGGATCCCGACTTTTGTCCAAAGTTTGTCATTTTTTTCACGAAGTTCTTGTTTGTTAAAAGAATAATGACTCAACTTGTTATTAAAAAGTAATGATAAAAGTTGGATCTTAGTTATTAAATACTCTTTTGTTTGTGGGCTTGAGCTCACAACTACATATTGTATATCTATGGATTCTTGTAAAAGCTTAAGCTGATAGAAAATGGACCGACAATGATTTTTTTTTTAATAGTACTGTGTGTAATTGGAGTCAGGTGGGATCGTTTTAAGTGGAGGGCTTATTGGTTTTGTGTTTTCGAGAAATCCCGCTACTCTGACCACTGGTGTGCTTTATGGCGGAGCTTTGTTAGCCCTTAGCACTCTCAGTTTGAAGATCTGGAGACGGGGGAAATCTTCTTTGCCCTACATTCTAGGACAAGGAGGTAATACTTTTTATACAGACTTTTTAGTTTGTGTAAAGACCCTTTTTGAGCATTGTGTGATTTTGTTATGCGATGGTTGCAGCACTAGCAGCGGCTCTTCTCTGGAAGAACTTTCAGACCTTTTCTTTGGTATGATATTGGTTATCTAGTTAGGAGAATAAAGTACTCGCTATTAGGAAACTAATTTGAGCTGATTGTTTTTCTCTAACTTAATTGTTGTTTCCCTTGATGCAGACAAAGAAAGTATTTCCTACGGGCTTTTATGCTTTTATTAGGTACGTCAAACTGTAGTTAATGGTGTTCCTGTGTTGCTAATAATTCTAAAGTTTCGATTTTCATCCATCAAACACGCGTTCTTAACTGCATTTTTTTGTTGGGGTGTCCATCACAGTGGTGCAATGTTGTGCTTCTACTCATATGTGCTGCTCTCTGGAGGAAACCCACCACCAAAGAAGTTGAAATCATCTCCAAGTGTTGCATCGTGATAAAACAGCTCTAATGAGGTTAGATTTTACAAATGTTAAGAATTTTGTGCCGTCCTGTCTTGTAGTTTCAAATAAGTTGAGGTCACTGATGGATGAAGGAGAAGTTGTATCGGCCATGTCATGCGAACTGGTTAGCTGTTTGTCAAGTATGTGTTTAATCATATTTATGTGAAATCCACAATATGTTTTTTTAAATAACAATAAACATGTTGCTTCTCAAGAAATAAAGCCATCATTGACAAACCAACTGGCGTGGTGTGTCAATATGTGGATAGTTACCGGATTGTGGACTGTTATAAGAATATCAGCTGAGGAAAAGAAACAATGTGAACTCAAACATGTGAAATCTAATTTATGTTGCTATCATTTTCATTTGCTACTGCTGTGTACAAGGTTACTTCCTCTATTATGTTCTAGCGTGTTTGACAAGTTCTAATCCTGGAGAATGTAAATGATGCTCAAAAAAACGCGGGAAATACGGTTTTAGATGGATTTTTCATCTAAATGAGCCTCGTTGTGCCTACGTGATGAAGCCACAGCCATGCCTTGGCGAGAGTTGGCACCTCGGTATTCTCGGTCCCTAAGAATTGATCGTCGTTGTGCCTACGTGATGAAGCCACAGCCATGCCTTGGCGAGAGTTGGCACCTCGGTATTCTCGGTCCCTAAGAATTGATCCTCGTTGTGCCTACGTGATCAAGCCACAGCCATGCCTTGGCGAGAGTTGACACGTCGGGGAGCCTCAGAATGCTCGGTATTCTCGGTCCCTAAGAATTGATCGTCGTTGTGCCTACGTGATGAAGCCACAGCCATGCCTTGGCGAGAGTTGACACGTCGGGGAGCCTCGGAATGCTCGGTATTCTCGGTCCCTAAGAATTGATCCTCGTTGTGCCCACGTGATGAAGCCACAGCATGCCTTGGCGAGCGTTGGCATGTCGGGGAGCCTTAGTATGCTCGGTCTCTAAGAATTGATCCTCATCGTGCCTACCCACAGCATGCCTTGGCGAGCGTTGGCGCGTCAGGGAGCCTCGGTATGCTCGGCCCCTAAGAATTGATACTCGTTGTAAGAATTGATCCTCGTTATGCCTTCGTGATGAAGCCACAACCATGCCTTGGCGAGTGTTGGCACATCAGGGAGCCTTAGTATGCTTGGTATGCTTGGTCCCTAAGAATTGATCCTCGCATGTGCCTACGTGATGAAGCCACGTCCATGCCTTGGCAAGCGTTGGCACGTCGGGGAGCCTCGGTATGCTCGGTCCCTAAGAATTGATCGTCGTTGTGCCCACGTGATGAAGCCACGGCCATGTCTTGGCGAGCGTTGGCACGTCAGGGAGCCTCGGTGTGCTCGGTCCTTAAGAATTGATTCCCGTTGTGCCTACGTGATGAAGCCACGGCCATGCCTTGGCGAGCGTTGGCACGTCGGGGAGCCTCGGTATGTTCGGTCCTTAACAATTGATACTCGTTGTGCCTACGTGATGAAGCCATGGCCATGCTTTGGTGAGCGTTGGCATGCTGGGGAGCCAGAATGTAAATGATGCTAATATATAGTGAGCAGTGACATTGCTGATGCGTAAATTATCATTAGTTTCTTTTTCTTCTTTTGTCCGTGTAAATTATGGACCAAAACCGAAAGAGAGACTTGAGGTCCTATATCATTCCTAAACACTCTAGGCTTTTGTTGAACTCAGTAATGGATAAGCTGCAATACATTGCTTGCAGGAAAGATCAGATTTCCATTCCTTTTCGTTTAAAGCTTCAAATGGTCCCAATATAATTAAGTGCAAGTTGCAACTTGTCTACTTTGTTTTATGTTTTAGAAATTGTGTTGATGATATAGTTGAGCTCCCTGGTTTAGAAAGGCACGAGGACTGAGTGCTATCGTGCCGTGTCATGCCATTTTTTTTAAATATTTTTTTACAATATCCTTAGAAACTCATAAGTTCTAATATTCTCTTAACTCCATCCTTCTTTTCATGTCTTTATGTACAATATCAAACTTTATACTTCATAGTTCAATTAATATTGGTTTAGAAAACTCTCAATCCCTGATTTTAATATATTCCTTTGCTTGAATAGTAATTGACGGCACAATCATAACATATCCCAAACTATATCCCAAAGCGTTTGGTTGGTGTATTCGTGTCATGATTTGAATCATAGTTCGTGATTCGCTACAGTCTTTTTTCTCACAAAAAATACACGTAAATCGAGAATAATTTTGAATCATGATTCATGAATTTTTCTCAACTTTGACACTTCTTTCATAAAAGTCTCATCGAGTCTCTTTCAATCTATGAGGCCTCGTTCATTTCATCAATTTGAGTTTTTAATTCTAATTTTGTTATAATTAAAAGCTCTCACAAAAAGTTACATCTAACTTTTTCTACTACAGTGAAAAGCTTTCACATAAAATCACATTTCAGTTCGAATTAAAAATTTGAATCCGCGAACTGAACGAGACAAATTATATCCTAACATCTATTTGGTGAATAATTTCTCTCTAAAGAAAGCTCGATATGTCCTTAGAGAACACACATTTAAAAGAAAATCACTTAACCAATGTCTACTTCACTGGCTAATATTCCATATACCCAGTGTCCCATAATTTTTCGAGCTAACAAAGCTCTCAGGAAGCCTTCAATTTATTTCTCATACACCAAAGATAAACTCACTCGCATATTTATTCTCTCTACTACTTCAAAACATGTATATCAGTCTCTTCTCTCTACATCATAGACATCTTTTAAGTTTTCTTCACTTCCCTTATAAACTACGTTGCACTTAGTGCAAAACCAAGCTCTAATTGATCAATTCTTTCTTAATTTGTTAACCTTATAGATCAATAGGCAAAAAGATCCTAACTTAGCCTTTTCCAACACAAAAACATACATATCTCTGCTTCCTCCTCCTATATATATATATCAATACATAAAAGAATTATGCATCCTTAACAGTTTCATTCCTTACATATCTTTGTAGTCCAACACATGAATAATTGATTAATTCAGGTACAACTTTCTCTTCCTTCAAGTAGCAGCAAACCACCTCATACAAACTATTCTGGTTATATATAAAATCTCCCTATAGACACTGCAATTGACACTACGGTAACCCACTGACCTTACCAGTGTTCTCACGTACTAATGCCCCTCATTATTTTCATAATATTTTACTTCACTAAGTCATTTCTCACATATAATAACCTTTGTAACCACCAAAAATTTAAGAAATAAAAGACGTTACTCATATTGACAATAAAAGGCAAAACTAACTAGTTGGCCGAGTCTTCCATCCCATGACATTGTTCAGATCTTTAAGAGTCTACTGAGTAACTACACTTGGCTCTGATACTAAAATTGTAACACCCCTCTTAAATTAGCAGCTAAAAACGACATTAGTTTGAGAGAAACGTTAACGAAAATAAATAATATGACAGCTCGTTGTCAATTTCTAACCAATTAACTAATTAATAAGCTTTTCCTAATAAATGCATTATTTATCATCAAAGATATTTTTAAGTAACCTAAAATTTAAACTCACAATTTGAAGTCTTAAGCTTGGGTATTACAAGAAGGTATAGCTGATGGAAGGGAAGAAAGAGACAAGGGAGATGCAGCATGAGAAAAGTACATTCAGTAGATCTAAAAGCTAACTTATGATTGTTGTAGGGATGAGTGTTTGGAAAACAAGTGCACCCAAATACTGAGCATAGAGTAAACTGGTTTAGTCTTAAAAAGTGTCTCAACTGGTTATTTCCCGTGCAGAACAGGAGTGGGAAGTCTGTTATGAAGAAATACTGCAGCTCTAAAGGCTTCATCCCAATATTTAAGAGCTATAGAAGCATTAGCCAAAAGGGTGAGACCATTTTTAACAATATGATGATGTTTTCTCCATTTTGCTCATGAGTATGTGGACAATCGGTAAATGGACGTTATTCCCCTCCCCCACTAAGTTTGTAGCATTAATACCTTGAGAAATAAGATTCAGAAACACAGGAGGATGCGACCGAGAAAGCTTCAACCAACTAGCCTTGTTTACTATTCTCCAATTCCTGGATAATAGAGTGTGTGGGCACTCGAATTCTCTACTGATATTCACGCGGCTTGTCTCCTTCCAACCACCCAGATCTCTAGAAATTTGTTAATTTTAGTGAGAATTATATTAATAAATTCGCTCACTTGAGAGTTTGTGGTCTAAAGAAAAAATAGGAGTCACAACGATCCTATTTATAGTGAGTACACTGGGTGGTTTTCAAATTTGAATAGGAGTTTTCCTCTATCCTTCCACCTAAGGATTGATGATTTTTCTCCCTTATTTTTGCTAGAAAAAATCGTCCACTATACGATAGAATATCCAAAATTTCTGGCTATGTTTGGAGTTGTTTTTGTTTTTCACGTTTTTTGAGAAAGAAAAAAATGAAAACGGGAGAGAAATAACGTTTGACACAATTAAAGACAAAATAGAAATGAAAACGATTTTTTGGTTTAGTGTAAAATGTGAGATAAATGAAAAATGACTTTTAGCCATTTTTCATTTTTTGTTTCCATTTTCTCCTCTCTCGAGCAGAGAGAGAGAGACATTAATGGATTTTTTTATACTGAAAATAATTTCTTGATAAAACTACCAAATGCATTTTCAAAAATGATTTATGTCTGAGATTGAAAACGTTTTCATTTTCATTTTCATTTTCATACAAAAAATAAAATCATTTTGGAACGAGTTTCAAACACACCTCTATTTCAAATTTTGATCTCCATTTATCTTATGATTTTATCTACATGGATAGTGTTTCATAAATCCAGTTTAAATTCAAAATAAAATCATGTCAACTTTATTTAAATTAAAGAATTATGTAGTAATTGTTCAAAATAAAATCAAACTAGGAGAAAATCTTGTCCACCTTATCCATATGGCATAACTATAATTTATAATCTATAATTATAATATAATTTATAAAGAGAATGTATTTACTATTCATATAGACATAAAAGCATTATTCAAAGTTTAGTTGTTTTTTTGTCTTCTTGCGTTTTTTTTTTCCTTCTAACTTTTGCCTCTTCGTTTTTACCCTTTCTTTTTTTCAAATCCTTTCTTTTATTTTTTATTTTTTACTTTTTACTTTAAAATTTATTTATTTCTTCAATTTAATTCTTTTTTTTGACTATTTTCTATATTTTTGTCCTGAAATTCTATCTTATTTTTCGTTTTCATTCCTTATGTCCTGAAACTCATTTATTTATTCATTTTGACCCTTATTTTTTAAGAGATGAATTGCCAAAAATTGATTATATAATATATTAATAATAGAATAATTAATAATGGGTTATTAAACAAATAATTAATATTAATATATCACTTATATAATATATTAATTCAATAATTATAATCTATTGAGTGATTAGTAAATAGTTGATAATTAATAAATAAATAGTAATACCAATCAATAATTAATATTAAAATTATAACTATTAATTGTGTTATAAACTAATCAATTAATTATTGATAATTAATAATTATCAATAATTAGTAATTAATGATTATTTAAGGAATAATTACCAAAAGTTAATCATGTAATATATCAAATAATAGGCTATTAACAAAAATTGGTAATTAATTAACTAATTGTTTAATTATGTAATTAATTTAGTAAATAGAATACTAATACATTATTAATATTAGTAATTATTCTTATTAATCTAATAATTATGATTAAATTACTAACATAGTAATTACTTATTTACTAATTAGTAGTTAGTGCTTTTAATTATTTAGCATATTAATTTATAATGTATATAATATTATAATATATCTATTATTACTATTTTTCTATCTTTTTTTCGTCTTTTCTTTCCAACGATTTGTATAACTATTATTTTAAATGAACGATCTGTATAACTATTGTTTTAAATGAATCACGTCTGCGAAACGCGCGTTTTTTAATAGGTTTAGTTTAATGAAAAGATATAAATAACGAGACGAGTAAACAAAAAATAAAATCGAGAACCTCTAAACCCATCCCGCCAATCTGTGACAGGTTAAATTTTTTACCGTTAAATTTTCAACCATTTACCAACCAGGCTTTTCCGGTCCGATTTAAGATGGGTCCCGCGGGTGAAATTGTCATTCTCATCTCTAAAACCTCCCTAGCAAAAAGACACTCTGTTCTTCTGAAAAATTCTAAGAATTGTCCTATCACATGATTATGAAAGATTCATAAAACCTTTTGTACGTCAAGTTACAATATGTTATGGCCTAAAATGTATTATCTTTTTAGAATATCAGAGGAATAAGAATGATATAAATTGCGTTAAGATCTTGGATCAAATAGCTTGCTTTGGAGATGCACCTATATCCAAGCCGAAACTCTATCCAGTTTGAAAACTATTTGGACCCGGTGACTTTCACACTTCACAAGCCGATACCAAAAAATCACCCTCCTCATATTCGTCTTCACTACAAGACAAATTCAAGTCTCATTCATTTTACCGATTCGAGTTTAAAATTTGAGTTTTATTATAGTAAAAAACTCTAAAAAACAGTCACATATATAAAAAACTCTCACATAAAATTATATCTTAACTCAAATTAAAAACTTGAATCAACGAACTAAAAACTCGAATCAACGAACTAAACAACCCTTAATGCACGACATCAAATAACTAAAGGATATGAAAACACGGTATTAATTTAACTACAGTGATTTTAAATAACTACCGTTAAAAGCAAGCCTTAAAATAGGAAAACAATCTAACGACAGTTAGATTAAACAACTATCATCGTATTTAAAATTTAACTCCCGCGAGTCGCTCACGAAATCTCAGTTTGGCGGTTTTTTATGCTTAAACTTCCTACCACTTTAAAAAAAAAAAAAAAAAAAAAAGTTCCATGCTTGATGTAATTTCGAACATTAATCTTTTTGTTTGCTTTGTCTGGTGATGTAATTTTGTGCTCTGTAATCTTTTTGTTTGCTTTGTCTTGCAATTTCGAACATTAATTTGTTGAAAATACCATGCTTGATTGTGATTGCGACCTTCTTTCTCTCTGTGGGGTTGGGGTTTTGTCAAAATTTATTTATTTTTTTCCCTAATCTAATTCAGGCTCTGTAATCCTCATCATCATTAAATAAATAAATAAATAAAACTTCTATACACTTTCTGATGATCTTGTGCGTATGATACACATTAAAACTCTTGCACAAACTTCATATATATAAATACAGTAGGAAAAAAAAAAACACAAAACAAAAAATAGGATCACGATAGCCAGCGATATTGATATATTTAACTAGATTAATTATGTTCTTCTGTATATTATCATCAGATAATTGGAAGAAGAAAATGCTGGACGTACCTAAGAGCATCCTCAACAGTGACATACCTCCAATTCACAACACTCAAAATCCCCACACTCACTTTCTCAACCCTAACGATCCTATCATTACTCTCTCTTCTTCCACCAAACAACAATTTGAAGTCCGCCACAATCCCACTCCCCGCCGTCCCGGCGTAGCACCCCGGCGGCGGCAGCTCCGCCGAGAGCCACCCCTCGGCGCAGGGCGAAAAGCTCATCTTCCCGTCGCAATCCATCATCGTGAAGATCCCTCTCCACCCCTTCAGCACCACGTTCCACGCCACCTTCACCTCCTCCGCCGCGGAACCTTCCGCGGCATGCTCGTAGTCGTAGTCGACGGCGACAATGTCGAACTTGAACACGCCGCCGGGGTCGGCGGAGAGCTCCTCCACGGGTTTAACAGCCGAAACGATGACATTGTTACTGCAGGAGCTGGTGATGTTGAGGGTGAAGATGAGATCGGAGAGGGCGAGGCGGGGCTTCGGCGGGGCTTGGCGGCGGCGGAGGGAGGCTGCGTGGGCGACGGCATAGAGGCGGCGGTAGGGGAGAGAGAGAGGGAGGTGGTTGGAGAGAGAAGGGAAGTGAGAAGTGCAGATGGGCTTCCAGAGGTGGTTGGAGGACATGGAAACCGACCAGGATTTGCAGACGCATGAGGCCATGGCTAGGGTTTTCGGTTCCAGGTACTCAGAGACCAGAACAAGGACTTCCCATGGCGGTGAACAAGAAGAAGAAGATGAAGAACTATGATCAGTACTGTATTGAGACGTCATGGCCGTTCTTTTCTTTTCTTCTTTTTCCTAATTTTTTTGTGTTTAAAGAAGCCGGTAATTATATTTATGGGGGTTTCTATTTTAGAAAAGAAAAATGGTGGGGTTTATATGAGGTGTGGTTATGTCGAGGCTGATTTCGGTGGGGCTTGGCAAAGGAGGTGACACGTGTTAAACATGAGGATTTTGCATGAATGGGAGTTGCCACGTAAGAGGGACACAAGTCTAGTGTAAGGAGTTTGACTGGAGTACACGTGGCGTCGTGGGATATGCGAGAGTGTTTACATTTTGTGGGAGCATGAGAAAACGAGAATAATTCTTTGAAACAAATACGACAATAAAACAGGAATGCGACATTAATGACATATTTACTTATCTATAATGAAAGTGTACATGAATCGGAGTGGACAAGATTCAGAATTGACAGGAATCAGAGTCAGAATAAGTTATTTATTTTTGTTTCAAGAATCAGAGTGAAAATCAGTCTTAATCTCATTCATATGTTTACTTACACTTAGAATCGAAATAAACTGTTATAAATTTACTTACCTACTCTTTTAGTAGATTGTTGTGTGTTGAACTCAAAAAAAAAAAAAGAAATTGTATATTATGCTAACTATCTTAATATTAGGATAACTAATTAGTAATTAGATTTTTTTTAATCACACCCAGTGTTGGACTTTCGGGCGGCGGGCATGCTCGATGCCCGAAAATTTTTGGGCACGGCGGGCAGGCCCGTCTCGCCGCCCGAAAATGATTTTCTTCGGGCACGGGCTCGGGTAGCCCGAAAATGGTAAGCCCTCCGACAGCCCGCCGCCGTGGAGAAGCCTTCCCCCGCCGTTCGCCGGATTTTTTTTTGGAGAAGCCTCCCCCCGCCGTTCGCCGGATTTTTTTTAAATTTTCCGGCAAATACCCGAAGCTGCCCGAACTGCCTGAATTTTGCCCGAATTACCCGAATTTTTTGTGACCGTTGCCCGAATTTCGACCCGTGCTCAAAAAATGCCCGAATTTTGAAAAAAAAAAACGGTTTTTTGCCCGAACCCGAATTTTACCCGAATTTTTGAACCAAACGGTCAGATTTTTATCCGTTGCCCGAACTGCCCGAATTTTGCCTGACCTGCCCGAAAAATTTGTTGCCGTTGGACCCGAATTTTTGGGGGAAAATTTTTTTTTTTCAACCCAAAAATTTTCCTATAAATACCCCCTCCCCCCAACCATTTTCCTCACCCCAAAACTTTCATTCTCTCTCAATTTCTCTTAATTTCTCTTAATCTCTCTCAAATCTCTCTTAATCTCGCTTAAATCTCTCTCGAATCTCGATCTCTCTTAAGCTCTCTCAAAGCGCTCTCAATCTCTCTTATTTTTCATAATGGCTTCTTCTGGTTATGGTGGTGGTGGTGATATTCCTATTGATGCCCAATTCAACATCGAAGAAGGGCAATTTCCTAATGTTTTTCAATCGCAGGAATCGCAAACTATGGAAATAGATGCTGATCAAACTGTAAATCCGACCCCTGGTGGACGTACTAGAGGTCGAGGACGCAATGGTGGTGGCA